AAACTGATTTAAAAGATATACATCGGTGGCCATGCTTTGTGGCTCGTCACGCTTATAATTTCACTCTTATTCTCTTAAGCATAATTCGTACGTGTGAACTAAATGTAACTATACTTTAGGTAAAGTCAAATATATATATATATAGGGTGGTACAAGAAATTTGTCCACCTGAAATATTTCTATTATTTGTAACAATACGGTAAAATGTTATACACAAAACTTGCATAATAGGAAGGGGTACATAATGTGATTATGCGAATACCATTCACGTGTGTGGAGGCGTAGAGAAAATTTCAAGGTCATTTGTAACTTTTTAAATGGAACGCTATATTTCTTTTTTTTTTTTTATCGCTGTGTGATAGCTACTATTGCGGTGATTTCGGAATGTTATCGTTAAAGGTCATTCAAGGTCACTGAAGATAGTAAAAGAATTACCATTACTTCCGCAATTGTGGAATCGCGGATACGTCTTGTCATTTCTGGATTTATTCCAGCAAATGCTGTAAGTTTTTGTCCCATCTTGTATGCATCTAAATGCGAGGAACCGAGAAAATGATAAACAGGGAAAAAACACCAGTTTCTTCCCCTCTAATTTCAACGTTATCAGCGTACTACTTTATGTAGGCCGTTTTTCATCGAGTGTATCATAAATAATTTATAAATCTTTCTATTACTGTACGCATAAAAGTTCTTGATTACACAATCGGTCGAATTTACACTTAGATAAAATAACTGATAAATCTTTCTGATTGTAGGTATGAAAAGAATCCTGATTTCACAATTGGTCGAATTTACAACTTTTACATAAAATTCAGCAACTCCTTAAATTCTTGTTAATATTTATCAGAGATTGATATATACACAAATTCAACGTCTCAATCGCTGATCGACGAATAAAATATGGAAGACCGTGTGCATCGGTGACACACTCATGGCGCTCAGAGAAATTTGGCGGGCGTCTGACCAGTGATGGACCGTATCACTGGCCGCGCAACATTCGCCAATTCCACGTTGAAAAATTCCCCTGGAAACACACCGAACACCTAATTTCTCTAATTACCATAAGAATCATCGAAAAATCTTCTACGCGGAGATCCTATCCTATCCACGTTTTATCCCATAGATTTGCCTCGGTTTCGAAACATTCGCCACGCGGAAAGGAGAGGAACCTTCGAGCTGGCCGATCGGATCGGCACTTCCTCGGGTATTTAAGATCAGGAAGTGTAGGACGAACTTCAAAGAACGTGCAAGGCGAAAGGAAGAAAGGAGATGATATCGTGGTGTGCGGAAATGTTATGGCGTGCAAGGAACACGCGAAGAAGGTGTAAATGACCATCGCGCGGCGGGCGAACGCAGGCGGCCGAAGAAAAGCAACGATACGGTGCTCTGCGTCGCCGCGACGATCCTCTTTTTACGGCTGAATGCGTACTGACGTAATTCTACTTTCTCTGTGAGAACGAATTTCACAAACCAGACCTCTCCCCCCGGGCTCTCGAAAGGAGAGCCGAGCAAAACGTTGTACGCCATCGTTCTTTCTCTTTGATTTCTTCAATCAACGTGTAATACACCTTCAGTTCTGTACACGTTTTTTCTTCAAAGATGATCCGATTAGGGGATCGACTGTTTACATAAGAAAGAACGTAAGGTAGTCTGCCCTCGGTATTTAACTTGAATTTATCGGTTAGAGTAGGAAGAAAAAAGTGGAATTGAAATATGATAGAAGGAAGAGAAGGCTGAAGTTAGATGTAGACCCTCAAGATGGATTAAGAATGCTTATTAAAATGACGGGGTTAGAGTAAGAGGAAAAAGTAGAATTGAAATATGATAGAAGGAAGAGAAGGCTGAAGTTAGATGTACACTCAAAATGGATTAAGAATGCTTATGAAAATGACGAAGGATGCATGAACGGGTGGTGCGTTTGAAGAAAGGATTCATATATCGGATACACAGGGTGTCCTGTAACACGTGAAAACCACTTTCAGAGGACTTGTGTTTCTATGAACTTTTTTCATTACTTTCAAACGAAGTGCACTTCCCAAGACACTTACCGAATGTGAAGATCCTGAACAGAATTATTCTATCTGGAATCTCGGAGTATGATGAGCACTAATTTTCGCGAAGAATATTGCTGTACCAATATAACGGGTGGTCTAATACTCATGAACAGTAGTGTAGGTTTCATACGCTACAGATCACCTTCTGTACTGTATAAATAATTAACATTTTAATACGATATACAGGGTGAGTCGTGCAAAACAGGCTACCCAATTATCTTCTCTAGCTATGGTGGCACGAGAAAAATTTTAGACGTACTTTAAATCGTTTCAAGAGGTGAGAAAATTTTTTGTTAAACGCCATTTTTTCTACTGCATATTGCAGCAAACACTGTGCATTTGAACATTCGCAACAGTAGCACCTTAAAATGACCTTCGATTTTTTAAAATTTTCAATCAAACGAGAAACTTTCTGTCATTTTTTGCCACTTCTTCATTCACCTTTTGTGAAACCAGGTAAATTACGTACAAAAGTTTTCTCCTACCGCCATTCCTAGAGGAGATAATTAGGTGGCCTGTTTTACACGAGCCACGCCATACAGCCGTGCTACAACTCTGACTCTATCAGAGGCTGAAATAACAAGAAACAGAAGCGCGAACGGTACTCTCGATTGTCATTCGACGCGTAGACATATTAGGGAAATGAATCACTTGACTCTGTGCGCCTTATCAACATCGGATTCGTGCGAGGAATACAATACAATGCCAGCGTACTAGACACACCGCGTTAACGGACAATGTCAGAATACGTTGTTCTTGGGCGATGTTCATAGAAAAATTCGCGCGAGCCGGTCATTTCAACGAACCGAGCCGGCGTCGGGCCGCTTTTCGAGATCGTCGTTCCTTCACATTTTGTCACGTAACTAAGGACGATGGCTAGAGACGATTGCCCCGTGTCTGCTCGCGTGGCGTCTTATAACGTCATTAACGACGCTGTAATTGTTCATCGGTGGAATTAAATATATGAGGTATACGTGTTGAGTCTTGAGAATGAATGGTATCACGTTGGACTGGTGATTTTTACTTCGTATCTGGATTGTGTCATTTTTAATTTTACGTACCTAATTGATGATATTCTTAATCCTAATTGTTTGATTTACAAATAGCACTTTTCAATGAAATATTTGTCGTTTAACTGATAAATTGAAAAAAATCTACATTTTATGCTGTTAAATGCGCGAGTGTATGTTAAAAAACTTAATCGATTTATTCACTTATGAGAAAATTGTTGAGAATTGAAAAACGAATACTTCGGGATATTTAATTGTTTTTTATATTTTATTGAAAATTCGCTAAAACACTTTTCTCAATCATTTTTTAACACAAATTTCCAAATTTAAGAAAAAACGACGTTTACAGAGTATTCCTTTTTCAAAGTGTTGCCTCTATGTTTATCGAGTAGAATTCTAGGAGTATCATGCTTTTCAATGAGTCACCGGTACATACAAAGAAACGATTGGTCAGAACGTTGATTTTACAACGTTCTCTGCTTTAATTTCAATATCAAGCGCATTCGAATGCAGTAGAGGTCTATTGGAGCGTCTGAAGCCGTTTCCAAGATCGTTGTTCCATGCTTCGGCGTCGCGGAATAATCCGCTACTGCTCGAGTCCCGTTGTTGCCGGACTATCGGAGCCTCACTCTCCATTGTCTTGGATAAGGCTTCTAAAAAAATTCACATTGACGTCTTCATCGAAACCGCCTCGAGCTTCTTACCTACGATCTCCCAACGTTTCTTTGCATTTCAATTACTCGGCGAAAAATGTCTGCAATTTTCCCTTAATTGCACGTGATTCAAATTTATTCAGCTTCTCTAACGTCAGAATAATTAAAAGTTCTCTCGGTGTTTTATTTATTTATTTATTTTTTTTTTCGAATTATAGTAGCCGAATGATAAATATTTGTAATTTTTTATTTGGCCACTCGTGTGTGCTCCAAAGTATGAAATATCGGATTTGCTAGGTTTCACCGATGTTGCACTAATTATTAATAAAAATAGAAAGTGGAGTGAAAATCTTCTGGAGTGAAAGATTTAAAAGTAACAGCGTAGAAATAGTGTAATTAGAAATGAGATATACTTTATCTAAAATTGAAGTGAAAATACACAGTGAATTTTTCTTCTAAATAATTTTATTTTCATGAAAATCGAGTTTGAAGATTTCTTCAGAAAGGATCAAACTATCTTAACCAAGACTTTTACGTAAGAAATCCTGCCTGGAATTGTGCAATAGTTACCACGTGCAATAATTTTACAATTACACAGTAATTACCGCCACACCTAATATTCTACCTAACCTAATCAGCGACACTCTAACATTGTACAAATTAACACACCATGCAATACAACATCTTTAACTCTGCAACGATTTATTTGAAAGGATACCAAACAATCCAAACGTCCAAAGAAAATCATCTTAACACCTTGCTCTAAATCCCAAAACCTCTTCGTTCTAACACCAAACAAATTAATATCTCAAATTCTACAATGATCTGTTGAAAGGACACCAAACAATCCTCTTAACAAAACCAAACATCCAAAGTAAATCTTAGAACATTGCTCCAAATCCTAAAACCCAGCCAAAATCCTATCTAACCTAACCAACAACACTCTAACATCAAACAAATTAACACACCACGTAATATAACATCTCTAACTCTACAAATGACACCAAACAATCCAAACATCCAAAGAAATACATCTTACGACATTCCTCCAAATCCTAAAACCTCTTCACTCCAACGTCAAACAAATCAACACAAGAGCAACAACAATCTGTTCAAACGATAGCGAACAATTGAAACAACGAAAGAAAATCATGTTAAGAACATTCCTCTAACCTCACCGCATCGAACCCACCAACCAATCTCCGCCGTCGCTATCCGCTAAACAAACGATCGGACAGAACTCTCTGGACATTTTGTCGTGTTTCAGCGGCAGCGATTAGAAAATGTCGTCTGTCGTTTGGCGAGAGCGTGGCGGCGCGGCGGCCCGTCCGTTCTTCGAGCCGCGCGAGTCACAAGGTAGGTACATAGATGCGGACGGTGCAATCGTCCGTGCCGGTGGCGTTTCTAACAAATTAACGGCCGATATCTCCGCCGGTGTGCCCTGCTCCGTACCTTCGTGGCTCCACCTCCCGGCCGTGGCAGTCCTGTTGCCTGTTGCCTTGGCCAGATCTCTCTTGGCGCGGAGGCACGCCGCCGAGAGAGATCATTTTTGCCACGTATTTGCAAACTGAATAATAAATACGCAGATATACGCGAAGAGGCCGCGTTCCGCCTTCACGCAGCTCGCGCTACGCGCGGATTGGTCGCACCGACCGCCGAGGGGACGGCGATATTCATTCGCCGTCTCTCCGGCTTCCCGATGGACCTACTTTGTACACGCACACGTGCAACGATACCTTGTTGCACGTGCACGCGAAACGTTCACGGCTGAGAGGGGAGGCAGCGTGTGCGCGAGAATGCACGCCACTCGCTGTACCATATCCCTCTCCCGGCGATCCTCTCGCTGTGCACACACTCTCTTTCTTTCTAGCTACCTCCCTCTACTCTCTTGAGTAGCCGCTTCTTTCTCGGCCGAACGGGAAACGAGCTTCTGTCCTTTGGCCACCGAGGCGTTTTTCACTTCGCATCCCTTCCTCCTTTTAATACGATGCTTCACCTTCTATACCCTATTTCATGCTCTCTGTGCATCGTTCTTTCTCTTGCTGATTTTTTTTTACCTTTCTTCTGTTTTGTTTTCCTTTTTTTTTTTTTGGTTAGGTTGGATTAGGTTTTAGCGACGGAGCCGAGTGTACTGTGTGCGGAGTTTTTCAAACTTTTCCAAGAGGCTCTTGCATTCCTTGGTTTTCTGTCGATACGAGGATTTATCTTGCGTATTTTATTGCTGCGTTCTGTGTTTGTTTTTAATTTTTGTTTCTGATTGTACGGTTTTCTTATTTTGATGATGTTTTAGGAACGTTTAACGAAGTTTTAGGTGTACGTTTTTAAATGCTATGATTTGTTTATTCTGAGATTCTTGTTTTTAGTTGTATTGCTGTATCTATGTGGAATGTGAAGTGAGGCATATTTTATACGATATACTGCAATATTTATTGGTTCATGATTTAATTTGTAAGCAAGAAATTCACGCAATTAATAGGTGAATTCTCACGTTTTTACGTTTGAAAACCTATTTGATGCCTTGCGTTCGCTTTTTATTTGTGCCTTTTGTTGTTCTTTATTTTGTTGCAATTTTACCAATGGATTCACTCATTCGATCCGTAAAAAATTTCTTACCTTTATTGCAGAAACTTATGCAGGGTGTGTTAAAATAAATTAGAGGTATAGAAGTAATAAACAAAATTGTTTGCCTTATTTTATCTTGTTACTGAGTTACATTTTTATCTTTAAAGTATTTGCTCAAAATGACTTCTTTGGCTTTCAATACAAGTCTCCAAGTGTCGTTTCACCGAGTTTCTGACACGTTTTAAATATCAAATATTCTTTTTCTTCTTTTCCAATATGCTGACATAATATTTCAGAATCATTTAGCCTTTAAACGACTCCACGTGCAAAAATTCAGTGAATTTATATCAGATAATTGAAGTGATCAAGTAGAAAGTCTCAAACTTCTCTCCAAAAATTTCCCTGCTTTTACTTCTACTTCTTGGTGTTCGCCATCCCTCCTCACTTTTAACCTGTTACACACTTTCCTTCCTATACCCTGTAAGTGCGTTAACTTGCTGTGTAATGGTGTTCATCTTTAATAGTTTTATAAAAACCATCTTAGAAGAAAAATCAATTTCTTGTTTTTAACGATTTACCGGGAAATTTTCACTCAGCTCCTACAACCCCATTTCATGCTCCACACTTTTCCTCCCTTCTATTTTTTATTTCCCTTAACCCTTTACAACGCCATATGCCTTAGTTAGGCGTCCCATTCATAAGTATTAACACACTTACCGAATGTGAAACGAACCTTACAAAATTATTAAGATCCTAAGAAAAATGATTCAGCTTGGAATCTTATAAAATAATGTGGTTCTAAATCGAGCGAAAAAAATCTACTTTAATCATACAATACTTTCTGTAATGGGTGTCCTAATATCTACCAACGACAGTGTACCTATCCATATTTTATATGTCTCATTACCATTACATTATTACCAACAATTTATGCTTGCTTCCCCCATCAAAATGTAAAATTCTAATCAACCGTAATTTTTCTTCTCACGAACCAAGAAAAATGCGGTTACAGAGGGTTAACTCGATTATAATAGTTTACCAATGGATCCACCCATACTGTTCGCAGAAATTTCCAACCTTTTCGCAAGAAACTTATATCCCTCGGATTTTACTCCTGCTCCTACTTGCCTCTTCCACCGTCCTTCTTCGCGTTTCTCTGTCCGCGTTGCACCGGCCGATCGGCGCGCACACACACACACACACACACACACACACACACACACACACACACACACACACACACACACACACACTCACTCACTTATGCTGGCCTGTGCACCACCGGCTGGATCGGCTCTCTTGTCCTTGCTGGTTTCGCCGCGGTTACACACCGGCTACCGTGGCTTTCCTAAATCCCCTCGACATCACCCCGATCGCGCAGAAGTGGAAACGCCAGGGAGTCACCCGCCGACTCGAGCCGACCGACCGGCCACTCTTGAAATCGTTCGTTCAAGTAGCACCGCATGGAGGGAGAGAGACATCGATGCCGTTCGTAGAATAGAGGCGATGATGTTGAATGTATTACGATGCACCGCGGGTTAAGTGTTCAAGTAGATTACGGTTGAATGAGCATTGAAGTTTCCTTCTTTGAGTATTCGATGAGAATGGCGTGCCGATCGTTATGAAAGTAGCCTAAAGTGGGCAGTGCATGATCGGTAATATTGGTTGAACTGAAGTTTGACATTTTTTTCAAATCTGCTTCGATAATATTGATATAATACTCTGTGATTCATACATTTTTCGTTTTCAAATATTTAGGCTGTTTCCTTTGGGTGTGTTGAAAGATACACCTACTCCTAACAATAATGTGAATAAAAACTAATTTGAACAGTGTGAATGAATTTTTCATTAAGCACTAGAAATTTGGCAGTTTTGTGGAACCACTGTGCGTTTCCAGAAGGACGTTGTCAATTCAAAGAAATTTTTAATAAATTCTCTATCATTGAAATGAATGAAAATGAGGTAAATGGCTACTGATCGCCATAACATCAATTTCAAACCTACTTTTACCAAACTTTTAGTTTTACCGATTCTCACAGTTAAAGTAGTGAAATTAAAATAGAATACAGTTAAATGATATCCATTAAATTAGTAAGACACTCGTGCAATATTACCTGACTGTAAGTAAGCCTTCCAATTAAAGAATGAAACGATTTCTCGATTGAACAAACTTGAATCAACGAGTCAGACGCAAGATCTTACTATCATTAGCCGACTCATCGGCAATATCCTTTTAACGGTCCTCGTCTATCGCGAAATATCGTTCTATCAGAATCAACTGTGAGAGGACTCTGTCACATCTATAAATCAGGATTACTCAACGAAGAAACGTCGAAGGAATTCCCAATAAGGCAAGTACTCCGTCTACACTTCCACTCTAAAATTCCCCTAACAAAATAAAAAAAAAGGAAGAAAATTACCCTACAGATAGTCGTCAATTAAAAATTTCTCGAATACAATATTCAGACGAAGCGCAGAGTTTCTATCGCGTTTATACTCTCGTCTGGGAGACATTATCGTCGGTTCTTCTTCGAGAAAACGGAATTGACTTGTCATTTCTCGTGCAATAAATCACAGGCTCGCGGTATGTTAATTTTCATCGATAAGCATTTTCTTCTTGCGCGGCAGGTCGGCGTGAGTAATCGTTTTTTCCAGGATGCTCATTTTCGCGGGATCTCCGTACTGGTAGCGGGCCACTGTCGCTTCATTTTTATCACGCTCCGCCTGTTCTGTATAAATATTTATACCCATAGACAGGCATTACTCGCTTCCTAACGCATTAACGAGCACAATGCACTTTACGCGCGGCGTAAAGTTTCGTGGCCGTTTGTACACACATACAGGCATACATACCTGCATACATATACTGTCTAACAGGTGAACGAAGGCCGGCCGAGCGTCATGTTTTTCTCGGTTTACTTTACGGTTCTTTGAATGTCGTTCTTCTTCCGTTTATTGTTGCGTTTCGTCCATACGCGTTGACCCGCTTAGCGCGTTGCTGTTTTTTAGTTACGCGCCGGGACCTCGCGATGGTAATGCGGATATTACGAACGACAGGAGTCAAGCGGGGACTCCTTTCACTGAGCCTTTTCAGCCATTGAAAAGGGATTAGTAATATTCTTGGGTCTAGGAGAACGTTTCGTTTCTTTTGAGAATGATCTTTGATTTAAAACAATATACTGGATATTGGTAAATTTGATGATCTTATATTAGATATTTCTAGCAATAATAGTACCTAATTTAGCTTAGGATTTTTTGTTTTTTTTTTTTTTAATGGAAGATGCAAGCTTTTGGTCACTGAAGAAGAAATTGTTAATTTTCTATTATTGGTAACAGAGGCCTATGGTTATTTGTTTAACTAAAAATTTTCAAACATTTCTGGTCCTTGAAGAAGCTATTCATAGTGTTCTTGGGTTTATAAGAACATTTGATTTCAAACAATATCTTCAATTTGGCAAATTTTAATATTCTATATTAGACATTTCTGGCTTTACTAGGAATTTAGTTCAAAATATTTTTTTTTTTTTGGAAGATGCAAGTTCTTGGGCACTGAAGAAGAAATGATTAATTTTCTATTATTAGGAAATGTATATTTCAGTAACAAAGACCTGCGGCTATTTGTTTAATTAAGAATTTCAAAAAAAAAACATTCCTGTCTTCAGTAGAATCTTATCGTTTTTAATTGTAATTTAGTTGAGAATTGTTTTTTCTTTAAAGTTTTTGATCACTGCGGTAGAAATTATTAATGTTCTATTTATGAGGAAATTTACATTCTCCTATGGTTATATTTGTTTAATTAAGAACTTCTTTATCAGAGTATAAATATGTCCAGTCCTTGAAGAAACTATTTATAATGTTCTTAAAAAAATTTGAATTTTAAAAGAATCATATGAATATTCTTTAAGCTAAAGATACTTTTCACAAAGAGTGAATTTCTTTTTTTTTTATCTCTGTAACACGAAAATATAAAAAGGAGTATAACTAAAATTATACACGTTGATCTTTATCACGGTAGATTATCTTTTTCACACTGTTGAACACTTGAGTAATTGTAATTGTGACTCGCGTTCATTGTGCAAAAATATGTTCACTTAAAAGTGAAATTAAAATTAGATCTTTCTGAAATCGTAACTTTGTCTTACAGCTTTTTGTAAGCACGAAAAGCGTCTTCAATCTACTCTGTCTTGATACCCATATTATGCATGACAAAATAAATGTATTCGCTGTTCGGTATAAGAATCTTGTAACAACTGCGATAAAAATCAGTAAATACATTTTGCATTAAGAATATCAGTTTTACACTTTCCGACACTCTTAGATCCTGATACCTACATGTATTTACTATGCGCGTATTTTTATCCTCATTACTAGTACAACAAACGTCTTGGCGAACCTATCTATTTTTAGACCTTAATAAAATTACAATGTATGTACTCCTTATTTACGCATTTGACTTCCTAGAAGGATCTCAGAGGTAATTCTGCACTTTACGAAGATAAACGGTACCGGGAAAATTTTCCAGAATTTCCAATACATCACAAAAAATAGCCATCTTCTTCACCCTTAACAAAAGAAGGAAAATAAACGAAATAATATCCACTTCGAACACTATCCAAGAAAACGGTATAAAGAAAAATTTCCACAATTTCTGATACATCATGAAAAAAACCATCTTGTTTAACCTTAAAAAAGGAGAAAACCAGAAAAAGATATCCGCTTCAATTTAAATTTCACTAATACTTCCGTCACGACAGGGTATTCCATCCACAAATTACAGTAGTGCACACATAAGTGAGGAGGTGACTTCTGCGAATTTAACTAAACAAAAGAGAGGAGATGTGCCTGAGTGAGATACCGATATATCAAGTGTCAGTTGTTCACATACAGGAGTCGATATCGAATTACTTTGTTTCACTCGGAACGCTCGAATTCCACTCCGAGTCCCACTTCCAAGAATTGGTGGGGATAGCGACGGACGCTTAAGTGTGCAAAAATGCGGACGCTTATGTGTGCACTACTGTACTACGAACTTATTTCGACCCAGGCATAGATCTCAAGATATCCACGTAGTATGAATTAAAAGGTCTTAAACAAGTTGGCCTTGAGGTGCATACGGCGATACGGCATTATGAACGGCAATTTTTCATTTCTGACAACATTATCGATACAACAGTTCCATCGTAGATACGTATGCATATGTATACACACAACGCTCAGAACTGAATCGCGACGATACAACGCTCTTGGACAATCGTGGCCTACCTTTTCGGCTTAATGTATAATCTTTTAAATATTCAGCTTGTACGCTCAGTTTTACGTTCACCACCTTGTATCACGCTAGACATGGCACACACGTGCATTCATTCCGTATGCGCACGAAAACAGTTACGCGGTTTTGGATCGGTAATCGGATTGAAGAGATTCACTCTGCTCGATTCTTTTCTCGAGATTCTCCGGGAGTTTGTTTCTAGTTCATCAAGGTGAAATCGGTACAATTTTTCATTAAAAATTCTAAGTAGCATCTTGGTAGGAATTTTCAATAAGGAAAGTCGGGATCTTGATACCTTGGGGTATTAATACCTTTATGATTCTTAAGTGTGGCTTTTCCAGAATAAAGGATTTTTTTTAGAAAAATCTTATACTTTGTGTGACATTTTTCTTAGTTACGCGTTTTATGGTATGTTTCAGAAAGAGAATTAGTAGAAAAGTTATTTTTCTATGAAAGTTAGTAACCTTTGGTTACGGTCCTGTTAAAACTACAAATTATTTATGGCGCATTAACCTTTTTTTTCAATATAGAATAATTACCGATAGAAATATTTAAATTTTCCATGTAATTTACTAATTTTCAATTTATGGAATGTTTTCTCTTGCTAAGCTGATCTAACATTTCATAATTCTAATTTGTTTCTATTACTTAACTTATTTTTTAATTTGATACCATTATTAAAGGCTTACCTATTTTCGAAGTTCACGATTTTACCACCAATTTTTCGATAACCTAACCTAACTTAACCAAATTATTTTATCACTTAACATTCACAAAAACTTTTTACGCTTTCCCCCTTTCTTCAACTATTCTAACCTAGAAAAAACTTTGAACAAATTCCACCAAGTGAAAAATCGACAAACATTACCCCTTTCCTAGGAACCAGTTCCATGATCACGTTTGCGGTCTTGAACGCTCG